TGCAAAGGTTCTATAAATACACACACTAATTGTCAAAGACCCGTGGTCTTTTGTACCCTATGCAAATCATTCACAACCCGCCGCAATCTTGTGCAGCCAAGTGAAAGATCTCCGATAATTGCAATGTCTTCAAAGGATAAGCCCTTCGACATGGAACGCAATCTACATGGAAAATAGGTCACCAGATTTGCATTAATTTAAGCTCAATAAACCCGGCAAACATCCATTTGGAGTACCGGATAAAGGGGAAACTCTCTCGATTCGAAGAGCAATCATAAACTTTTTCATCCCATATGGATTACATAAGTGCAACATGGATGGGTGGAAAAAACACAGTGAAGTATGAGCGAGTACAAAAAATGAACTGACCAAGCGAACACACAGCGTAAAAATTATAGAAGTAGTTGAACATGACAGGCGCACGTCCAAAAGCATGAGCGAAATGATTAATGAACTGCCGCCATCTAAGGTCGCCAATTTACTCACAGCAAAGAATGGCTCTTGTGTGAAAGTTGAAGTGAAAAACTGCAGAAGTAGGTTAGAAAAAATATAAAGCGGATAAGAAAACTTAAAGGTTTAAAAAACAATTGGGCATTCACTTCAACCCATGCTTAACCTTAGGTCTACAATTGTTTCTTTTGGTTAAAAAAACCTTTATTTGTTTAATAAAAAGAATTCTAGGTAGGCTGCTGTTGACATAACTTGGTTGTATGCTTTAAGTTCCGCATAAAATTGTATTTCAAAATTTATGTTTCGGTATCTTCTCAAAAAATTATCTTTCACTTTACAATATGCGGCACTTACAAGTTGTAAAATATGTACAACCACGTTATGCAATAAACACTGTTTTGTTCCCGCGTTTCATGTCTAAGTCTGGCAATGCGAAATCTGGGTCAGGATCTGGAGATAAGAAGGGTTAATTGAGTATGGTAATAACGTTCGAGTATACTTAAGTTTACTTCCTAGCAGATGCAAAATGTAAGGAGGGTAAGGATGCAAAGTCTTCTGAAAAAACCACAAAACCAGCTGAGGCAGTAAAGAAACCTACAGAGGCAGTAAAAAAAGGTTAGACGTAATAATATTTGAGCGAAATAGAAGGTAACTCCCCCATAGATACAGCGCCAAAAGAGGTTAAGGAGACGAAAATCACGCAGCCAAAAGACGAAACAGTTATAAGCGGCGGGTCAAAATGCCCGCCAAAAATCAATCCAGCTGCAGAAATCAGTAAAACTAAAAAGAAACTAAGAACTTGTGATGAAATATTACTGGGTAAGGGTAATCAGAAGAAAAAGAAGCTAGCTCTGACGGCAATTCAAGGAGGAGACTTGGGCTGCCCCGGCAGAATTGATAAAAAACCACGTGAGTGTTTTTCTAAACTTATCGAACTATAAAAATTAACGTTGATCTGTCCAGCAATTGTTGCTAAGCACGCCAAGCGATGGCAGAAAATCTCGCTATTCGGAGTCCTGCCACTGATAGCCATCCTTAGTCTTTTGGTGTTCAGCACTCGGATAGAAGGGGATCGCCTGGAATTTAAGAACTATACCCACATGTACAAGCGATCGAAGCCCTTCTGGTTTCGAGATGGAAATCGCACAGCTTTTCACAACAGCCATCTGAATGCCTTACCCCCAGCAGGATATGAGGACGAGGTGGATGAAAGTGCCATTGGCAAGGATCCAGAGTCTGAGCCGGATAAAAAGGCTCGGCTGAAAGAATTCGACAAAGTGGTCAAAAATTGGCGCAAGCATTCATCCAAAAGAGATGCCCAACTTAAGAAGGAGGCTGCTGCTGCAGAAAAAGAGGCTAGAAGACAGGAAGCGCAATAAAAGCATACATTATTAAGGTCCTTGAAATTTAAGATCGTAAAATAATTATTAGGCGAGCAGATCGTAGTAGTTAGGAAGGCGAGGAAAAAAGAATAATCATATTGTCCACCTTAATAAAAACTGCCTGTCTATCTTTGATCTATGTCTAATATCATTAATATTTTATGGGGGAGTGTAGGGTTAGGGGACGAACTCGTCAAATCTCACATGTGACGGCACGTCAACAATTTTAAATAACTAACGTCGATTTCCCTTATTGTGCCGACAATGTATTTACATTAATATTATTAAGAATTCGATTAATTTGTTTGTGAGACAATTTTGACTAAAAAAGTGGAGCAAAAATTAACAAACCTATTGAATTTATAGGGGTGTCAGCAGTGCCAGATCAAAGATTAATGGAAAACCAAGTCGGACAAATATATACACGTATTAATAAGATCTTCTGCAACAGTTCTGGGTACTTTGTGTTTTATTCTTTTCCGCCTTATCAAAGTGGCACCGTCATATTTCCAACACTACCTTGTAGGGTACGAACAATTTGTGAACAAGACTTTTAATATAATTTGTTCAATTTAAGCCAAGAACTATAGTAGACATTTTTTTTTAAGAAAAAAAAAATAATTTTCAAAATAATTTGCATGCAGTCAGCTTACTCTACTACTTTTAAAAGTAAAAAAAAATTTGGGCTCACGCCAAGAGCTGTAGTATTTAACTCATCTAGAATTTTACGATCAAACTTTTACAGGAATATGCCCAATAGATGTCAGCAACTTTCTGCTTTTAAACCTTTGAAAAATATCATTTTTGGAAAAGGGGCACTCAAAAAACGAATCTCTCGACACTATTCTCCCCTATTTATTTTATGGAACTGAAATAATAAAGCAAAGCAACAGAGAGCTTTAGGCTAGTTAACAGTTATTTAAACTTTGACTCTTAATCTGTTAATTATTAAAGGTATAAATTAATACATACAGCGAAATAGAAAAAAATCAATATGCATTGCTTAGGAGCTTAATTGGTAAAATATGTATTGTTTTTCTTAACCAAATTGGCTGTTATATTGCCGACCCAATTACCAGGGCTATCTAAAATTCAGTTACCCTCGTCTTAATTTGTTCCCTTTTCCTTTAAACATAAGCTGATTGGGAAAATGTTTTCGGAGTGGAAAATGTTTTCCTGTTCGTTTGTGCGGATGAATGATTGCCCTAACCAAATGGTAGCTGTGTGAATCGTGATTTGTCCTCGGCCTGTCTCTCCACTCGCCAATCTGTGCGATATTCTGGTGTTGCAATCAGCGCTATCTGCCATGCCACAAATCGCAGCCATTTTCGTAGGGCCTTCGCTTCCGGCCTTTTCGCTTTCCTTTCCGCATTTCGGCCATTTGTTTTTCCTGCTGTTTTTCCTCTAATGGCTTTCCTTTTTGCTACGCTGCGCTTCAATAACTTTTATCACTTTTAATTGGATTTTTCTTTATAGTCAACGCATGTCTTAGAAGACTAACACATGTTCAGATTGTAATTGTGTTAATGTCTTCGAAAGTGGGGGTGTATGCGTGGGCATGTCCTTTTTGTCCTGTGACATCCTGCTAATACCAGTGCCCTCTATCTTGTGCATGTGTGTATATATATTCCTGATCAAATTTGCTTATTTTTCGCTGCCTTATTTTTCTTTCAATTTTCTTAATTGCTTCTCAATGCTCAAGCCATCAGGCCGTAACTTGGCTCTTTAACTGATTTTATTTAGCTTATTAAAAGTTGATTTCGTAAGCTTTGAAGGTGATGAAGGTATGTAAAATTAGTTCAGTTGTTTATGTTTCCGTAGACAACTATTAGGGAAAAATGTATTTTTAAGGAATTTTTTTTTATTTGTTTAAAATTCTGCAACTGGTTGAGAACGCTAATATATAGTGCCATGGTAATCTATCATATTTTCTTTTGTCATTCTACAAATTGTATAGATAAGGTTGGACATTAATATATAATAATTATTACTAGCCCTTCAGACTTCATTTATTTCTTAGTTAATACGTTTAAAAGCCATAGGCTTTGTTAAAATAGCTCTGATTGATTTAATTTTTGCACGCCAAGAATAATAATTACTTCTTAGATATATCAAGTGAAAGTTTCCAATTCCGCTGGCCCAAGGACAGGGCCAACTCATGTGCTTATGCGAAAGCCAGACCAAGTCCTGAAAGTCGGGCCAACTTTTGCCGTTCCGGTCGTCGTTGACACGTAATTGACTTTGTCCGCACTTCCACGAGGACAATTTGTGCGCCACTTGCTCGGACCAATTAAACGCCATCGATGACCAATTGCAGTTGTCGCGAAATTGCTCGGAAAGATTGCCCAACGTAATGGCGGCAGATGGGCGGAGCGGACCCAAAGGACCCAAAGGATGTGCAGCGGAGTGTAATCAATGCATAATTTTAATGCAATTCTTGAATGCAATTACTGGCGAATACGCTTTTGGCTATAAAAGCCAGGGACGGCGCACCAGCGACCAGTGACCGAAAAAGTACGTCGGGAAGTGCAAAAGCGAAGGGACCGCAACTCGTTAATATTCGGAGTGATGAAAGTTCAAGTTTTCCGCTGGCTCCCCGTGCTATTTCTCCTGCTGGTCAGGACGGGGCCACGTGTCGCTGGCAGCTGGCGGAGCGAGAACTCCCGGGAGGATCCGGACTCCGAAAAACACGGTGGGCAATCAGTTGCCGGATATGCTAGTCGCTTACTATCGCCACCACGGCGTTCACAGCCTGATGCTGGTCGTTTGTCACACGGACATTGTGAATTAACCCTCTGCATGCAATGTGCTCTCGGGCCAAATTTATGACCCGACAACACACAGACAAAAATCCCTGGGGGTTTCAGAAAGCTTTACAAACTAATGGAATTTACTGCCTACCACCGAAAGGAAGCAATTAATATTCCATTAAATCGTTAACTTATCAATTTGATATAAACTATATTGCAGCCTTCTTTTAGACAACTTCATAGGTGGTTTGAAACATCTAAAGCAACTTTAAAATCGTTTGAAAGCTGCCTTAAATTTAATTTAATATTTTAATGAATAATATCTACTGTCAAATTCTTAACTTTATATCTCACATTAGAATTTTGCCTTGCTTTTTTTTACTGTATCTCTGTTTTCCCCTTCAGCGGACTCCCCGCGTTTGGACGCTGTGGCAGCACTTCAACCTCAACGATTTCTATGTGCAGGTCAGTACGGCGACCTCGCTAAGGGACCTGCGACATGTCGATGTCCTGGATGAGCAGAAGGACGCACCACCGCCGAAGAGTTTCCATGCCAACAACTCCACCATTGGGACACGTCCTTTCTACTCCCCATGTTGTCCTACAAAATGGGAATCCTCTTCCTGGAATTCAGCAGCGACTGTGCACTCAATCTACTTCGTTGGTCTGCCGCCTCGGAGCACAATTACTTCACCACCAATCGGTTCTGGCTGCTCCTTACCGAGGATCTAGCAGAGATCGATTTGCTAGAGGATCCCGAAATATTTATTCCTCCGGACAGTGAGTTAAGGGTGCTTCACTATGAAAACGAAGGCAACTTCTCGTCCAGCCTGATCGATCTCTACAAAGTGGCTGCTTGGAAACCTTTAAAGAAAACTTTGGTGGGACATAATATTCGGAATCCGAGGCACATGGTTCACGCCCTGCAGCGCTTTGGATCGGCCATAACTTATCGGCAAAATCTGGAAGGGATTGTCTTCAACTCGGCCATAGTTATTGCCTTTCCAGATCTTTTTACAACAATCGAAGATTTGTCGCTGAGGCACATTGATACCATATCAAAGGTTAATCATCGCTTGATGCTGGAACTGGCCAATCGCCTGAATATGAGGTATGGCAAGAACTTCTTGGTATATTCATATTTTAGATGAGAAATTGAAATGTACATATGTTTGTATTTTGGGGATCAACTCTTTCTTTGAGATCTTCAAATGAGATCTATTTTACATTATCAAATTGTCATAACTAATCTTGGGTCAGATGTGGTTAAAGACTTGCTTGGTAATTAAGCTGACAAAGCCTTTTCTAAAAGGACTGTTTATTCGGAAGATCATTGTATATTA